GGGGGGGTTCCGGGTCCGGGCGTTACTGCTGCCTCCGCCGCCGCCGCCGCCTCCCCCCACCACGGTCATCCCCATTCCCACGGAGGGCCAGCGCAGGCTGTTCCAGCTGGACCTCCGGCTCCAGGAGGACTGAGGAGGACGCCCCCAGTGGTGGTAGTGGGAATTGCGCCTGCCGCACTGTAACACATGATAAGATCAGATCAGATCACTTTATTAGCCATATGCAATTTCTTGCATCAGGAATGCGTCTTTTCGCATGAGGGGAGAAGCAAGGAATGGTTGTGCAGGAGAGAACTAGAAGGTACCTGTTTCGAAAACACAATTAAAATACTGTTAATTACAGATAATCAAACCGTGTTTTATCTTCAATTACTTTACAGGGTGAAATCAAGCAGTCTCCCTGGAGGAGAAACGAGATCTGGCTACTAGATGCGTTAAAGAGCTGGGCAGCTGTCCTTACCAGCGACCTTTGCTCCAGGTTGGCCGGGCCCAGGGAGATGACACTGCTCTTCCTCGAACCCAGGCTCCAATGCAACCTCTCTGAAGCGTACGGCGCCTTGGAAGAAGGCACAGGGCCGGGCTCCAGGTGGCCGTTGGGGGTCAAAGTGCAGATCTTGGGGTCTGGAGTGAAGGGAACACTCTTACTAAACTGGACCCTGAATTGAGATACTGGCTGTTTAATTACAGCTTTCGAACCCTTCTGAGGTTTTATTTAAAAGCATTGCGATTTCTTTCTTGTTCAGTTTAGAAAGAATAGTCCGGCAATCCCTTCCATCCAGGGCACCCTGCATTATCGCAGGGCTGTTTTATAAAGAAATACAGCACGACACGGGATACTGGACAACATTTACAATACAACCCCGGACGATGAGATAACAAGAGCAGAATTACACATGTTAACAATATTTCACAGAGACCGAATTAAAGGTGGAGTGACCGATGAATCAAAACAGGAGGAGAAGTAGCAAAATCTGCTGCTTTGTAGAAAAGGTCTACTTAATTAAACCAATAATTGGGTGAAGGAAAAGAGAAAGGGGCAGGATTCTCTGAGAGCCAATGGGACAGGCCCACTTGCTGCCTCCCATCTGCCTGAGGGTCAGATCGCGCCCAGGCC